CTGATGCCACTTGCGCATGCATGCGTACCAAGATTTCTCATCTCTGCCGCTTTTGAACACGGAGTGCCGCCTTCGTTTGACTGACCGTCGGTCATCACGAAAACGGATTTCTGTGAACCGGTCCGACCGTATGTCCTCATCATATCGAGGGATTGCTGGAGACCAACTCTCGTGGCGGTGGCGCCACCATCTAAAAATCGAATGAAACCATTGTAAAGTTTCGAATGCAGGCAACAGATGCAAGGTCTCGCTCAACGAGCGCTGCAAGGTTATTGGCGAGGTTGGTAAACCCAGATTTAATGCAGAGAAAACACAGAATGGTTAACCTGGGAAGCTGATGCATGATGCGCGAACGCGCGTGAAATGATATCAGAATGAATAACGCTTAATAAACGAGAAAGAATAGACCGAGTGAAGATCAGGAGCCCGTTGTCAGCAACAATATTTGTCTTAACATTAGTCTTAACATTAACATTATTAAAGTGTTATGTTAACATCAACATTAGCATTAACTTAACGATGGCTCTGACAACGGCCCCCAGATATGCATCAGGCTCGTTGCAACGAGAGAGTCTTTCTATTGCTTACTGTCGAATGGTATCGCCAGAATCTGCGCTTGAACATTGGCGAATGTGTTCTGCGTGTGGTGTTGCAGATAGTTGAATTTTGTCGACGTCTTTCCGGTTTCCGAGAACACGATGCCACCTATGCGAATCCCGGCTGATGATACGCCATTCTCCTTGTCCAAAAACTCGACTACGTCCTGTGAGCAAATGGTGCGTTGTTAGAGACACGTTTGCGTTGAGCATCATTTGATATTTCGTTCCCGCCAGCGTACTATAGGGGCGTATCGTGACGAGCATGACAAAACCGCCGCAATTGCAGAAACACAGTCGTGAAATCTAACCCCAGACGCATTGAGTGCGTTTTCTTTCTCTTTAGAAACTATTGTAAAAGTAGTCCCGGTTTAGATATCCCGCTTGATGAACTTATATTACTCCGTAGACATATATGATGAAATTAATGCCTATAGGGCTCTCCCTCTCTCCGATTAAATTTCAGAAATTCAAACGTCACTATATATGGATGTCTCTTGACATGCTATTGCCATAAGTTTTTTTTGCATCGAATGCAGTCCTTACATGACCGCTTCATTGCTATCAATCGAGGCGAGTCGATTGTATTGTGGAGCAAAACTCCGTTTCGACTTCTAGCCTAGTTTATATGGTGATATAGCCTAACTTCTAACCGCTATTATACGTAATAATGTTATTAACATGACAATATAATAATAATAACCGATATAAATGCACGAGGCGCTCTCGCTCGCGATCCTCACGCTCATATACATACCTTCAGCGCGGTTTTTCCCTGGGCAAAGTCTGAGGAGCCGACGCTGCCACTGCTATCGAGCAGCAGCACGATGTCTACTGCCACCTGGTTCGGCCCACCTCCCGTTTCGGGTGGAGGTTGGGGTGCGTTTCGAGAGAACGAGCTCAGAAAGTTGTTCTTCAGCGACGTCGCCGCTCTGCCGATCGGGTCGCTCACTTGATCGAGGCGTTCCTGCGAATCGGAGTTCCTGCATCGCGAACTGCCGACTCGATCTGCTGTGTACTATAAGCATCGCTTCGGCCCTGTATCGGCCACACTCGTCAAGATACGAAGCATCGAATAGCATCCCGACAACAAGCACTAGTGATATCTTATGGAAAATAATCGTTTTCGTCTTAACCTATTAAGGTTTACTCTTCTCATCGAACCAACATGGATCCATGAAGGACAGTTCTTGCCCTGCTTTGCCTTTGCCTCGCACCCACCGGTATGGCGGCTATTACACTCGCGAGGTTTTATATATGGCGGCTTACTGGAGTTCGGATTTTCTTGACATCTTCTTCTGCATATTCTTGAGTAATTCGGTGCAGAGAGAGGCGTAGTTGGTGCGTTGCGGCTTAGTTAAATGTACAATCGAAATTGTCTCTTTATCATAAGTATTATATTTACATTCGATTTCTAAGCGCGATCAGGAACGGCAGGCTGTTTTCATTTTCAGGTCGATGGTGTGGTAAGGTATACGGTGTACAGACGCAGCTATACCACGCCCGTGTTTCGGTTGTTTCGTTGCTTTCTAACAGCTATGTTACGCTTGCTTTTTTCATATTTTTGTGCACATGTAACATTCACGCATTTCGTCACGTAATATCACTGTATTACGGAACGTGACAATCAGCCCGACTGCGTTCACACCGTGTTTTCGCGGTTTCGTCTCACGCGACATTCCGGCGGCTCATCAGCGTGATCCGTTGTTCACACGTTTCATACACGTGATCCGTCGTATCACGCGCTCATCACGCGTTGATCCGGGTCGTTTCATTTGCGGCTTATCACGACGTGACGTTCACGCGCTCATCAGCGTTGATCCGTCGTGCACCGCCGCTCATCAACGCGTGATCCGTCCGTTCAGCGCTTGCATCACGCGTGATTTCGTTGATTCACGCGCTCATCATTGCGTGATCCATCGTTCACCGCGGCTCATCACGCGTGATCCCTTGTTTTACAGGGAGGTTGCTCAGAATCCATCAGGCAAGACAAGCCGATCGGCAGAACCGGACGCCGACGTCGCTGAAGAGAACAACTTCCCGAGCTAGTTCTCCCGAACGCACCGGGTGCCGAGAGGCAACAACGTTGTCTCGCGAGAAAGACCGAGAGTTGCGCGGCCAACCGGTAACGTATTATTCTGTCGATTTTGTAGGAAACAATTGAAGTCTTTTGGCACACGTAATTATTCGTCATCTTTATATATTGCAATAATTCCCGATTTACGTCGATACTACATTTTCGTGACGGTTTTGTGATTCGCTCATTTCTGCGCCGTGATCCGTCCGGTTCGACGCGCTCATCACGAGTGCATCCGTCGTTACACGCCCATTAACGCGTTTGATCGTTCGTTCACGCGCCTTATCACACGCGCCGTGATTCGTCGTTCACACGCCGCACATATACGCGTGATCCGTCGTTTCACGCCGCCCTCATCACGCGTGAATTCCGTCGGTTCACACGCCCATCACGCGTGCATCCGTCGTTCAGCGCGCCTCATCTACGCCGATGATCCGTTGGGTCACGCGCTGCATGCCATGGCGGTGATCCATTCGGTGTGTCCGCAGCTCATCACGCGTCGTGATCCATCGTCCATGTGAGGGTTGCATGAGCA